ATATATATATATATATATATATATATATATATATATATATATATATAAGATTCCGTCTTAGAATGAGTGTCCAAAGAACAACAGGCTGAGAAAAATTCAATATTCTTAGGATGAACATCCCAAGAGCAGGTAGAGTGTAACATGGGATGATATGGCAGAGTAGTGTGGGAAGAAACATGCTTAGGGACTGAAATGTAATGGGGCAAGAAGAAGGTGAGCACAGAGGTGGGAGAGAGCTCAAGGAGGGAGAGGCGATAGCTTTTTGTCTGAGTTAAACTGTGGTGTCAAGGGCCGTGATGGCTCTGTCAATAGCAATAAATCTCATATCCTGTGTTTGTGCTTACAGCGTGTGAGGAAGTTCGAGATACACGTCATGCTCAGAGCACCTGCAAAGAAATTAAACTCAAGTTATTGTTTTTTTTTCTCTCCACATTCAACTCCACATTTTTACTGCTGCTCATCCAGTGATAGTATCTGCATACCTTTGAGAGATATTTTCGTGCCATTTTTTAAAACCTTTAAGCAGAGTATCATCTGATTGCTTTCCCCTTCTGTGTCTGTCCTCCCGCAACTGATTCTCAATAGAGGTTTTAAGGAATAAAACATCATTGTGGTAGCTGAGCTAATGAGGCATGGACTGTTTTATTCATGCTTTCCTCCCACAATCATTTCATCTCCCTGTTTCATCCACAATTTGGAGTGCTTTTTTTTATCTTTGTTTGTCCTAAACACCCATCATGTCATCATCTATACATCCACTGTCTTTCTTTCCCTCTCCCTCATCAGATCTGTTCTCCTCCTGCTCTCCTTTCTCTGATCGACGGGAGGATATTGATTGGGAAGAGATGGGTCTGCCTGATAATGAGACTCAGTGAGCGAAAGAAAAAAGGGAAGGAGAACTGGGGGAATGGAGATAGATTGGAAGTAAAAGCGGATTAGAGGAGGGGAGGGCTGAGAATGTGTTTTTCCCTGTCATGCTTTGCTAACTTTGGCAGGGCTAGCTGGCCACTTCTCCACTGGCTTTGAAACTGAAATTCACAGGGGGTATCAGAAAAAAGCATCTGATCCATTCTGTGCAGGCTGCACATTCAGTCACACACAAAGCACGCTTGAATAAAGTGAGTCTTTCTTTGTGCAAGCCCACACGCATGGAAATAAAGCCAGAATTGACCAGAGCTTATTTATTTTTGTTTCCTCTGCAGTGTATTTAATATACAGTCTGTATGCATGCCATTGCCAATTCTTCATAAAAGCTTCCACTATACAGTTTGTGTCCAACACCATATGCAACACAAATAATACACACTCTTCAACCCCGTTCCCATTTCCTGTTTATTTTTGCTGAGTTACGTTTTCTTTGATAGTTTCATAAAACTGCTGGTCTGCTGACACTCTGTTTCTCCACTTTTCAGGCATCTTTGACTGTCTGAGATGAGGTGTTGGAGTTTGTTTTATTTGTAGGGTAGAGGTGAAGTTTCTTTTCTAGGTATTGACAGTTTGAGTGTCAGAACAACAAGATGTGTGCACAGTATATCTCTTTCCTTCTCTCTGCTCCTGATAGCAGTTCTAGGTGCAAAACATTGGTTGAATAAACCCCCTCCCGCATCATGCTGATCTGTTTTACTAAAACTTGCTCAGACACTGCCTATACCAACATATAGATCTGACCAGCTCTTTTAATTTAGTGTTTTCATGTTCTTGTGTCCTCCCACCACCAAGCCTGAAGAGCTGACCAATGTCCTGGAGATCTGTAACATTGTCTTTACCAGCATGTTCACCCTGGAGATGATCCTTAAGCTTACAGCTTTCGGATTCTTTGAGTACCTGAGAAACCCATACAATATCTTTGACGGCATCATTGTCATCATCAGGTGTGTAATCAAAAGACTTGTTAAATTGATTTAAATGCAGTGGTCAGTAATTGTTCAAACTTTTGTTTACTGTATTGTGCAGTTAAAAAATGATAACTTATCTTATTATGCAATACATTTTGCTGGAGTATCAAATCAGCAACCCAGAGTGAAAGCATGTAGTTGAATCATTATGTCTTCAATCGAGTGTTTATGGTGGTATGTTTTCAGGAGTGGTTTGCTATTTGCTGTATCTTTATTCGTTTCATATAGTGATATAGTTTTATCAAAGTCTAATTTCTAATGACATGTATTTGAGTATTTACCACGTTTCTCTAATTCTCCCTTCATGCGTGTTGCAACACACAGTGTGTGTGAGATCATCGGCCAGGCAGATGGCGGTCTGTCAGTGCTGAGGACCTTCAGGCTGTTGAGGGTCATTAAGCTAGTGAGGTTCATGCCTGCACTGAGGCGGCAGCTTGTGGTGCTGATGAAGACTATGGACAACGTGGCCACCTTCTGCATGCTGCTCATGCTCTTCATCTTCATATTCAGGTAACATAATGACTTCATGAGGTATATGGTGAATGGAGAATCAGTTGTGAGACAGAGAGAGTTACTGGAGGAAGGTTTCATAAAATTAAGTCCCTGTTTATGCATACACTGTATCAGAGAAAGAGACACTCTAAACTTCTCTAAGACCAGTTTCTCTCTTGAAAAAGTACTTAAGTCCTTCATTTTGATTGTCCCATAGTTCTGAACAATGTTTTTATTGTGATGGATTGAGTCATGAGTTTTTTCCCATGTGAGGCCTTTAAAAGGTGCTAACTAAAATTCCTCTTAAATGAAACACATTGTTAATGGCAGCACACCTCTATGTGTCTGTGCATTGTAATATGGTATAACATTTTGCATTGAATCCATTCATTATGTAATTTCCAAACGTAATTAGGCTGTATCCTTTTTCTTATGTAAATTAAATGGCGGTTTCATAAATCCTTGCTTGTGTTTCAGCATACTGGGAATGCACATATTTGGCTGTAAGTTTAGCTTGAAGACAGAAGCAGGAGACACAGTGCCTGACAGGAAGAACTTTGATTCCTTGCTTTGGGCCATTGTCACTGTTTTCCAGGTAACAATAGTCTTTTTTTTTCAGAAATGCTGTCTGCCCACTTTGCATTGGTTGCTTTAAAGAGTTTGAATTGCATTTTCATATCTCGGGAACAAACAGAAAAAAACAAAAGCTAAAAAAACCAAACTGCACTGTTTTAATTTGCAGATTCTGACGCAGGAGGACTGGAACATGGTCCTGTATAATGGCATGGCATCCACCTCCCCCTGTGCTGCTCTTTACTTTGTCGCACTTATGACATTTGGAAACTATGTGCTCTTCAATTTACTTGTCGCCATCCTGGTTGAAGGTTTCCAAGCTGAGGTACCACCTTTACCTAACCGACAACTTATTGATTTTCCACTATTCGCTTTGCAGATAAATGGTCAAAGTCAAATGCATTACATAGCCATTCACAGCCTTTCTGTCTTTCTTGATCCCCAAAACTTGAATATTCTTAGGAACAAAGAACACATTTTATTTCTGCTAGTGTGACTCAATTACTCAACTTTATTCCAAGTAAAAAAATCTTTGTTGCATTCTTTGTCTCTCCCTCTCATGCCCTCTTTTTTCCTCATCCATCAGGGTGATGCAAACCGCTCTTACTCGGACGATGACAGGTCGTCCTGTAATTTTGATGACGCTGATAAGCATAAAGAATCCTTGCACCTATCGGGTATGAACACCTCTCACAGTTATTCAGCATTTCCATGTTTTTTCAGCCTTGAAATTATCCATCCATTGTATTTCTAACGGGAAGCACGGTGGTGTGGTGGAGAGCACTATCGCCTCAAAGGAAGAGGGTTCTGGGTTCAAGTTCCTTGGGGAACCAGGACCTTTCTGTATTGAATCTGTGTGGGTCCTCTCCGGGTTTTCCAGCTTCTCATTTGGGAATAAGCTGTTCAGAAAATTGTTGGATGTATTTTCAACCACTGCCCAATAATGAACAATTCTTTACCTCTAATTTATAGAATTAACTTTTTTAAAGCATGTTCACTTTGTAAACAGAAACAAATTGTGAAGTGAAAACTTCAAAATTCACAAAAGTGAATTTTTGTATGATAATTGAAAAAAACTATTAGTTTTTACTTTACCAGCTATTCATATATGACACAAGAGACAACGTCACATTCATTCTAAAATCTGTCAGCCAATTTGTTTTATCTGGGGAATAAAAACGTGTTTTTACAATCTCTACAACAAGCCTTGCTAAGCAATGTATTCTTGGCTGAAATGTTAGCTTGAAAGTTTGAATAATGTATGCTCCATGATACTTTTCCAGACTCTCCTCTCCACTCATACCCCCTGTCCTAACAAGAACAAAGTCATGGGCAAATCACAGACTCCTGCAGAATAGAGCAGCTTTTAGCAGCCCATTTGGGATGGATTTGGTGATCCTGGATGACAGTTCTCCTGAGCTCAAATGCACCTTTTTAAATGTCAATATTCATGGAAGAAAAGTGCATTTATAATTTTGTTGTTTCTCAAGAAAAATTCTGACAAAATATATGCTGGAGAATGGTTCAACCACTGGCACATATCACCTTTTTTCACTATGATGAGTTCCTCTCTCACTCTTTTAAGGCGATTTATTGTAAATTTAATCTTCCTCTGCCTCTTGGAGGTGGAGTTTAACATTGTTTTTAGCAATTTACTGTGTACAATGATGGAGAGAGGTCTGCTTTCATGGCAACAATAGACGAATAACAAACAAAGAGAGGCAAGGGGCTTATTTAATCTTGTCTTTGACAGCTTCTTTTCCCCTCGTACATCTTTCCTCTTGTTTTCTTACCTCCATTTAACACCATTGTTTTTATTGTGTTATTGTGTGTGTGTGTGTGTGTGATTTCTTCTCCCCTCTACCTCTGCAGATCCAAAGATCTGTACCCTGACCCCTAATGGACACCTAGACCTGTCCCTGTTGCCCTCTGGGCTATTTCCTGGGGAGAGGTTGACTTTTGCACTTGGCTCCAGGAAGAATAGTGTTATTTCCCTTGGCAGGGCTGACCTGGAGAAGAGGGCTGTGGTAAGTGGAGGGTGTTTTTAACACAAGCCGAAACCACCATTTCTTAGCCCTCGGCTAAATAGCTGGGCATCATAAAATGAATGATTCTGCATGAACTCTATGTTGTTGGTCTGGTGTGATATTGTCACAGCTATATTCTCAAATGCACCATGGATCTCCATCCGCATTAGAGGTTTGTCCCTCTCAGTATCCAGGTCGCGGCTACCACAACTGGGGCCGTCCGCTGCCCCCCCATCCTCACCCGCTGTGGGCGCGGCGCTCCAGCTGGAGCAGCCTGGGCGGCCGGCCCTGCTGCTCCTCCTCTCCCTCCGCCAGCCCCGCCTTCACGCCAACCTCCGCGAGGCCTTTTTACGGCTACGGACTGGGCAGCCTGGGAGGAGTGGTCGGAGGGAGCCTTCGGATCCGTGGACCCCGCGCCTCCTCGTCCCCTCACCACCACTTCCATCACCGTCACGGGCAAGCAGATGAGGAGGAGTCCCTTCTCTCCCCGCCGGTTGTCGCACATCACTCTCTTCAGCTTCCCTATCCCCTGCTCCCCGGATATTTTGCTCCGCGGAGAGACCGCAGAGCCCTTTCGCTAGAGCTTCCCCACGTGCTTCAGGTTCCAGCCGGAAGCCCTCGCACTCCACCACCGTCGCACCACCCGTCGTCTCCCATGACACAGCACGCTCGGCACAGGAAGAAAAGCCTGTCCGGAGGGCTGGTAATCGGCGGCGGCAGTGACTTGGAAGTGGTTCATCAAGACTGTAACGGGAAGACCCCGCTGTCGCACCTTCTCCAGGCCGCTCCCAAACAACAGACTGAGCAGGGTGGCGGGACAAACGCCCAGAGCCGCCTCATTGCCGACGTTTTCCCCCAGGTCAATCCACGCTGCAAGGACCGGGATGACCTGGATGACGATCTTGATTATGTAGGTTGTTTGTTGTTTTTCAGTTATGTCACCATCCCATACATATAGGACACAATTTGTGAGAGCATATAAAAAAACAAAGTGAACAAAACCACATTTATTTTCAGTTTGCGCAAAAACTTTTGCTCTTTTCATGTAATTTAAACAAAACTTACACACCCTATCATCTGGGCCTCATGGGGATTCCATTGTTTTCACTGTAAACACGTCAGTATATGAGCAAACTAAACTTAACTTGAAAGGACCATTTAGGCAGATACTGTAAGATAGTAAAGAGCTGCACAGATGATAATGTTCTAAGACGTCCTAGCTTTATCTATACAAGCGTTTCAGAGGCACATCATTTGTGAAGTTCCAGGCGTTTCGGCTCCTGTGTGCGCCTTCATGTGCAATGAAATGTGTGTTTGTTGCAGAGCTTGTGCTTTCGCATCCAGAAGATGCTTGAAGCACACAAACCAGACTGGTGTGAGACAAGAGAGGACTGGTCCGTCTTCCTTTTTTCTCCACAGAACAAGTAAGCCGCAATTTATTTGCTGGTTATAGCGTGCTTAGCGATGGGTTGACTTGCTGTCAATGTCCTTTCATTGGTGGTTGTCAAAGACAACCAATTCAACCAAAATTAGAAGCCGAAGTTGTGCAGTGTCAGAAAATTTTAGCCCGCGGATGAATTTTACTGACATGGTTTGCACTGTCGCCTCAGAGCAAGACATTTCCTGGTTCAAATCCAAGCTGGGGGCTTTTCTGTGAGGAATTACCATATTTTTGCACTGTGTACATGAGAATATGCATGTTAGGTGACCGGTGACTCTCTCTCCCTTAATAGCTGGCACTGTATTAGAGGTGAAGTACAGCCCAGACAAGACAAATAGCTATTCACACTCACACACATGCCTGTAGTCAATTTTGAGTCACCAATTAACCTAACATGCATCTTTTGGATGGTGGAAGGAAGCAGGGGTATCAAAGAACCCACACATGTATAGGGAAAACATGGAGACTCCACAAAGAAAGGCGCCCTCACAAAGACTCGAACCAGTTTACCTTCTTGCTGCCAGGCAAAGGTGCTAACTTACTCATTACAATTGAATATTTTAATAAAATCCTTTTTAGTACCTCTCTGTGTGTTCCATTTAGAATTTATTTAATTTATCTTGTAGTTTATTCATTTTCATCTCTGGTCTGCGTATCATCCGTTCCAACAAACACTGCAGCAGAGATATTTAATTGCTTTTTGGCAGCACCTTCTGTCACATGCACAAGTTTTCAAATGCATATTTAGTATTTATATGTTCCATCTCTATCTGCCATCTCCTCCCCCTTTCTCTATCTGTTTCTCTCATATCCCTCCATTCTCTTCTCCCAGCAGAGCACTGTGCTCAGGAGTCCTGTGCTTCTGAGAGTGCTATTAATGTAATTTGTTTTGAATTAGGAGCAATGTAAACAGGGGCTGAATGAGGCTATTTACCCAGCAAGATATTACTGAGCTTCTCAGCACAATCAGAGGACTAGCTTCCATTTTGATTGGATGGAAATTGTTTTTATAGATCATTTTGAGTCAGCTTGTTTTTTTTACAATTGCAGCTCACATCTAAACCTATATATCAGCTAATAATCTTCTCTGCCTCCAGATTTCGACAGATGTGCCAGTCCATCATAGCCCATAAGCTGTTTGACTATGTGGTATTGGCCTTCATCTTCTCCAACTGCATCACAGTGGCTCTAGAAAGGCCCAAGATACTTCAAGGCAGCTTGGTAAATCCATCTTAAATGTATGCCTGTGTGTATGTGAGAAACTACTGTTCTGCTCCCCAATGCGGTTTGTGTGCTATGGAGGTATCTCTAGGAATACAAGCAAATTTGATTGTCCAAAAGGTGTAATAAAGAAGGTTTAAAGCTCCATGTTGCCCTGTTCCTGACACTCACCTTTATTTTGTCCATGCAGGAAAGAGTCTTTCTCACCATTTCCAACTACATCTTTACTGCCATCTTTGTGGGCGAGATGACTCTCAAGGTAACATTTTTATTACCTGCCTCACTTTTACTGCCAATGCAGGCCCCACGCAGAGACATATTTTGTGTGATTGTGTGTGTATGTGTGTGTATGTGCGTGTCTCTGTGTGCATCTGTCTCCTCCTATGTCTTCCGGTTTGTCTGTCCCTGTGAATCACTTCAGGGCTCCCACAGCCCATCCTCTTCCCTTTCCTTCTTTCAAAGCAATCCCCATGTTCCTTTGGAGAATGGAGCAATTAAGCAATGTCATTAATTACAGGCTAGTCTACTCCTATAGATGTAATCCAGCACTGCCCCCACATACTGTCTCTCCTCCTTTACTCTCCTACTTTAAGCAGGCCTTTTTGTTAGGCAGCGTTTTCTCTTTTCTCATTAGTCATTTTTTTTCGAATCTCAATCTGTTTGTTTCCCCATCCTTTGTTTCTTTTGGTTTTTATTTCTCCCTCTTCCACTGTTTCTGCATTCTCTTGGAAAAGCTGTGGCACAAGTGGGCCATCAATTATGAAGTGCTGCAATCAATTATTAACCAATGAGAGCCTGTCAAAGAGCTACAGACTTGTCAGACCCCTGGCCGTGCAGAACATGTCCCCCTTTGAGTGTCTGATCTTGTGTATCTCTGTAATGTGTGTTGGTGTGAGTTTGTTTTTGTAACATTAATCTCTCCATGGGACTCCGCCATGCACAAGATGCAGCCAAACAAAAGATGCACACAGCAGGGTTGGAGATCTGTCAGCAGTATGATGTTCTAGCACAATGTTACAGAAAACATTCCATAGTTCTAATGATTAGAATCTGTATTTTTTCCCTTGCAATGACCACATAGGTCACTTACTGGAGACACATAATCAGGACTCAAAGATTTTTAAATATTTTTTATAGCTCACATTTGATATTAAATCATCTATTGTTTGCCAAACACCGAACCTTTGCCAAAAATGTCCTCTTGGTGTCTAAGCTTTGCAAAAAACTTGGCAAACAGCTTCAGATGTCCTCAGCAGATTTTTGCATTATGAGACATCCTCTACCACTGACATTTTGCAAGATATGGTTTCCATCTGTATGCAAGTATATTATCATGCCTGTAGTACATCCATACCTCAATTTCAAACTCACAGAAGGGTCCAATTTCATCATTTGTAGAACTGCTTTTTATTTTAATGCTTCTGGCTGACTTTTTTCTTCAACATGTTTTTTTTAACAATTATGAATGGACACAAGTTATCTTACTCCATAATAGAAGCTTCATGTTTGCTAAACATATTGTTTTGAATTTGTGACATTTTACTGTTCACATGTCCTCTCATCCTCGTATCAAATTTCCCAAAATACGAGAAAGAAAAAGGTGAAATTGAATGGTTTAAGTGTATGCCTTTAAGTAGTGCTTCGCTTCTCTCTTGTCATTAGGTGGTTTCCATGGGTTTATATGTGGGGGAACAGGCTTATCTCCGGAGCAGCTGGAACATTCTGGATGGATTCCTGGTTTTTGTGTCATTGATTGACATCGTGGTGTCTATGGCGGGAGGAGCTAAGATACTTGGAGTGCTCAGAGTCCTCCGGCTTCTCAGGACACTGCGTCCTCTTAGGTATACACCAAGACTCGACACACAGTACATCATATTTCTTCACTCCTGCTAACTTTCTAATTTAACGTGATTGTTGGGTGAGTTTTGCCATGTGATAATGCAGTTTGATTTTGTAATGCATGAGCTTGTTTGGGAAGCATAATACATACACATACATTATACACTTAAAAAGAACATGTTTTGATTTGTTTAACCACACAACAGTTTTCCAATTTGTTCATTTGAATTGTCCATTGGCACAGAGAAGATGGTATGTTCAGTGTGGGCTCTTTGCATGATAAATCTGTAATCTGCATTTGTGGACAGCATGGTGAACTGTGTTTACAGTCAAAGAATTCAGATTCCCTGACATAATCTGACTTGTCTTTAATACAGTGGTGCCTAAGGGCTCAAAGAACACAAGTTTCAAATATTGATTTACAGTTGTGTTCTCTGCTCACAGACATGTCTCCAGATGCTGAAATATTAAAAGTCTACCCAATATCATCCTGAAATTGCTGCAAATGCAGGTTTTTTGCAGGCCGCTGAATCTCTGACCATCTTCACTTTTGAGAAGCAGCCTGTCGAAGGTTCTCTTTTCATGCATAACCAGTTTACTGACCCGTAGCCAGTTCATCTAAAAAGCAGCTACATGCACATCCAACTTTCTTTACCTCATACATTTTGTAGTCTTCTTTTTTTGCCCATATGCCAACTTTATGCATAAATATATTGCTGCTCACAAATGCCAAGATATGTTGTTGAAATTTTCCAAAATCATAAATCAAGAGTGGGCGGCACGGTGGTGTGGTGGTTAGCACTGTCGCCTCCCAGCAAGAGGGTTCTGGGTTCGAATCCCGGGGGAACCAGGACCCTTCTGGGTGGAGTTTGCATGTTCTCCCTGTGTCTGCGTGGGTTCTCTCCGGGTACTCCGGCTTCCTCCCACAGTCGAAAAACCTGCATGTTAGGCTGATTGGAGATTGGGGAAATTGCCCTTAGGAGTGAATGTGAGTGTGAGTGGTTGTTTGTCCTTGTATGTCCTATGTGTGGCCCTGCGATGGACTGGCGGACTGTCCAGGGTGTACCCTGCCTCTCGCCCATTGACCACTGGGATAGGCTCCAGTTCCCCCTGCGACCCCATGAGGGAATAAGCGGTATTGATAATGGATGGATGGATAAATCAAGAGTGTCTTTACATATGTATTGTTATATATTGGTTTTGAAGATTTGCAAATAATTGTATTTTGTAAATTTCTGCAACTGGTAATAGAATTTTCCCTGTACTTTTTATCTCTGTTTTCACAGATGGTATTTCTAATTTAAAAACTACTACCTGTTTAATTACAACCCTTTTTTTAAACAAGGCAGTATTTATACTGTAAAAAAAGAGCTTTTTACTTGAATCATCTTCTGACTCGCATCATAAAGCAAAACCGACACAGTGATGAGAAAAGCCAAACCTGCAACACCTTATGTAATGTTAAAGATTAGCATAACCTAATCAAACCACAGAGACGTGTCGATGAATATAAAGTTAAATAGCATGCCTGAATGAACCACAAGATAAAAACTTTTCTTTGATTAAACAAAACTGACGCACCGTCTGCAGCCACTTTTTGTACATCTCTTTAACATTGATTACATTTGGTCAAAACTTAGTTGATTGGTTTATTGACTTGGACTTTTCTTATGTTGGCGAGTTCTCTTGTCCAGCCTTTTCTGTGCTGATTTATTTTTAAAATTACAAAATGTCAAAAAGAAAGGCTCTACCTGCATACACATTCAAAATCCATTTATTCATTCACTTATCTAACATTTGCAACAGCAAGCGGAAAGACTTGGCCTAAATCATAAATCAGATGCTCCGTAATTACTTTTGTTTTCCACCATGAATGGTACAATTTTTAAAACCAATCAGTGCAATTTTAAGGCAGTTATAATGGAGCCGTGACATGCATTGCAAAAAATATCTGAGATGTGGTACAGAATGTACTGATGAAGATTAGATATGTTAAATATTGTCATATATCAACTGCTTTAAAAAAAAAAAAACGTATAAATCTCACAGATTTCTATCCCTATTAGTTTTTCCACCATTATTGTTTTATTGTGTCTTTGCTTCAGAGTCATTAGTAGAGCCCCAGGACTAAAGCTGGTAGTGGAGACCCTCATCACCTCCCTCAAACCCATCGGCAACATTGTCCTCATCTGCTGTGCATTCTTCATCATCTTTGGCATTCTTGGAGTTCAGGTAGGGGTCAATGAAAAGCTGTCTTGTATGCTTGCAAATTATTATTAACCCGGTCCGTTTAACCCAGGCCTATATTTTTCTGAAAGATGTTAGTGTCTCCCTTGCTTTCCCTCATTAGATTCAAATCACAGAAATACCCCTTGCAATACCTCTCCTAAGTAAAATCCCAGTGTCTTTATGCTTCTTACATAATAGATCATTTCCAGCCTGTGAGTTCTCTGACCAGCTCATTATTTAAACTCATTAGAGTAATTTTCAATGCCGCATTTCTCAAGTGTCAGATGGCATTAAAATCTTTTTCTTTTTTTTATCTCTTCTAACAGTTATTTAAAGGCAAATTCTTCTACTGCCTTGGCCCCGATGTCAAAAACATCACTAATAAGTCTGACTGTCTGCAAGCCAATTACAAGTGGGTCCACCATAAGTACAACTTTGACAACCTGGGACAGGTGAGGGTCTTGTGTGTTGGAAATAGATACTGTGCAACGTGCTGACATGTTTTTGCTTTTTACTTATAATGTGCATAATTGTATCTTTTACCTACCAACTGTTGTCCAGGCGCTGATGTCCCTGTTTGTACTCGCCTCCAAGGATGGCTGGGTCAACATCATGTACCATGGCCTGGACGCAGTGGGTGTAGACCAACAGGTCTGGATAAGAACACATGTGATTTAGGCAGAAGAAATGACACAATCTTCAATATCATGGAAGCACTTGACATGTTTTAAATAACAATTTTCCCATTTTCTGCTTTCTCTTTCTCTCATCACATCACTTTATGTTTAATCATGTCGAAAACAAACGCACAACATTCTAACTTCAGCCGGTAACCAACAATAACCCATGGATGCTGCTGTATTTCATCTCCTTCCTCCTCATCGTCAGCTTTTTTGTCCTCAACATGTTTGTTGGTGTAGTGGTGGAGAACTTCCACAAGTGCCGCCAGCACCAGGAGGTGGAGGAGGCCAAGAGGCGTGAGGAAAAGCGCCAGCGTCGTATGGAAAAGAAGAGGAGGAGTAAGAGTGACGGCTGACAGGGGAATGAAAACACAGCTGTGACAGCTATGGAAAACCATCACTCGGATTATCTTGAAATTGCTTTGCTAACTTTAATCCTCAGTCATCACACATTATTCGATCATGAAATGTGAAAATAACACACAAATAGAATATTTAGGGTATTGTGCTAATAGTCACCGCCTTTTTAGAGGGTTGAAGTCATCTGCAGGACTTCTGTTGGTGCAGAAAAACAGATTTGAACAGACTAGATGGGGATTTCAGGCCGATACCTTGCATGTATCCCTCTAAGAATATATGCCCAGACGCGATTCTGTCTGCTGTCAATCCTCTCGACTTATAATTCTCTTTCACTGAGACATTCACAGTGAGATGTCTGACAAACACACAGACGTTTCCCTGCTTATTATCCCCAGTAAATTCAGCCAGATATAGACTGGCTACTGTCTAGCTTCAGGAATATCTTAGGAGCCACCAATAAAAGGTCCAACTGCAGATCATCTGAGTGTGTCGAAAGACAGGGTCACTGTTTACAAAACTGTAGCAGATTTACTCTGATAGTAGTATGTGTGATGAGGAGGAGGAAAAAATATAACTTGAAGACTTGAAAAGGTAAGCCAGAAAAAGTATCTAAAGAAAAAAAATCAATTATAAAACTGGGCTTGCATAGACTGATAAGACAAGCCCCTGAGTTTTTCTGTTCTATTTCATTCCAAGAAAACTTTTAGATTGTGGTGAAGGTCATGAGTTTATCTTTCCTGTGGAAAACTTGGGTCTGGTTTAAGTTTATGTTTCACTTTTAAATCAATTAAGTTTTCAATAATGTATATTTTCCCCCAACAGAAGCCCAGAAGCTGCCTTACTATGCCAGCTATGGCCACGTACGCCTGATGATCCACACGCTCTGCACTAACCACTATTTGGACCTCATCATCACCTTCATCATCTGCATCAACGTTATCACAATGTCTTTAGAACACTACAATCAGCCTCACGTAAGAAGGAATGCCTGTGTGTGCCAATCCTTGTTGGTGTTTTGTGGCTGCATGATTGCAGTATTAGTGTTTGAATGGCTGCAGTTGTAAAGCTCAGACTATACAAGTTACCTTTCGTCAGTTTAGCTCCGTCTTTCCACAAAGTTGAAATAGATCTATGGCCTTTTTCTTCAATATAAATCCACATCTTCTTTTAAAACATCAGCGTCTAAATAAAAAAAAACATGCCACTTACCGATGAACCTCCATGACACTGTGTCCAGGCTCTTGCCTTTGTTGTGAGATGCTGCAGTCAACACAACGAAGATGCTGCTGACTTGACGTGGGATGTTGTCAGGGTGGTGTCAGCCATACAGTTCGTGAATCAGTCCGCAAATCAGTCCATTCATGTGGGGTGAATGGAAGCCCAAAAGCCGAAAAGCACTTTTTGTGTGGGAGCGGAAAGTGATTATCGTGAGATAAGACGCCTGTTTGACCTTTAAAATGGAGCACGCTTTCTCAAACTGACCGAGCATCAGATAAATATCACAGGTCTTGGCTGTATTTGTCAGCTGTTGGTCCTGACATTTGGCAGCCTCCCACTTGTTAGAAGACACAGTTCTGTTTATGAAAGAAGGAGACAGTCAGCTAACTAATATGGCAGAGCCGAAACACGACTCTGGAATGGTTTTTATTAAATTAAAAGAGGAGGATAAACTTGTTTTGAAACTGTTTGAAATGGTCTGAGTGTGTAAGAAAGACAGCACTTTTTAATCTCATTACACAAACAATTGGTTAATGCTGCTAACACAATTATTCAGTCTGTCACAGGCTGACATGCAAACACACGTGCTTCGGTTTATTCTCTCTTTCCAGTCTCTGGATCTCGCCCTCAAGTATTGCAACTACGTCTTCACCTCCACTTTTGTGCTGGAGGCTGTACTGAAACTCATCGCATTTGGATTCCGTCGCTTCTTCAAAGACAGGTTTGGCTGACTGCTGCTTTTCTGCTGGAATTTGCATGACAGTGGTTTTTCTGTGTTCACATCTGAGTGTATCTTTGTGCTTGTTAGCACACTGTAGCATTGTTTACACATGCATATTTTTCATACAGCTAAGGTGTTACCTTCAGAACGCTCCCGGTGATTAACAAGAAGGCACACTTTTGGATTAGATTATGAAAAGCTAGTTTTATATAAGCAAAAATAACAGTATTTTTACTTTTATCTCTGATAAGCTTAGTGACTTATCATATATGTAATTAAAAAAATATTAAACCTTAAATCCACTATCAAAGCTCAAGGCGATTGCTTTAATCTCTTTATTAAACATAATATAAATAGTGCCACAATGAACAGTTATTTAGTTCAAAGTGTTTCTGCATAATTCCACGTTCCCCTTTGATCATTAGAAATGGAATAAGGAGTAGCAGCTTTGAATGCGTCAAGGATTATGCATATGTCGAAGCGTGCAACCTCTGAAAAGTTCTGTCCATTTAACTGAAATATACCTTATTGTAGAAATGCATTTCATATATTAACAGCTAGCCAACAAATCAGTTTGTGGATGAGTCATTTCATCAGTTGTTCTATGCAAATATAAGACCAATTCCTGAAATGTTTTGCAACCCTTTAAAATATGAATCAAAACAAGCATGCTTTCCATCTACTGGTGAAGAAGAAGGTTGATGTCACAGAGTGGTAAGCTTAGCCCTGTCCCAGCTTTTGTGTGCTGTGAGGCCATCAAATAAAACCATCTTCTGATGACTTCCATATTAAAAAAATACAATTCAAATAATGGGATTTGAAAATCATTACAAATATTTGATTTGATGCAATTTTAAGTTCGCCCAAACCTGTGCCAAATATAGCACTGTACAATTATTTTAAAAATCATCCACTCTGATACCTTGCTAGTCAATTCAAGGATTGTAGCATAATCAAATCTAATTGTCCAGCAGCTCTGTACATGTGACTCTGCTACATTTCATCATAGTCATCTTAGGCTCATCTGTCTTTGGCCTACATGGTAAGAACACCTCAGCACTGTTCATCCACTTTAGCTAAAAATCATGTGCGCAGTGATGTCTCATTCTCTTCATGGATATGTGATGTCTGATTAAAGCGGAAACAGATTTGGAAGCTTACATTAAACTGATGGTATTTTAATGTCATTGTCCTATTTTTGTTTCTGGGGAGAAAGCACAGCACAGGAGATGGTAGATATAGAAATGGTTGGTAAGAAGGATAACTTGGGAGAAGGAGAGGGGCATGCAGAGGGCACATAATGCTTATTGGGGGGGCCAGGATTGATCAAAGACAAAAGAGGAAGGAGACAAATGAGAGGAAGATGGGCGGATATAGTGAGAATTTATCACAAAGTTATCAGCTGGCACTTTGTCTCATTTTATGTAGTGTCAGCAACAGCCATGAGCAGCCATGCTGTGCATGCTGTGATTTATAGACTAGGGTGACCCTCAGGCCAGCCTGAGAATTGGGTCAATGGAGTAAAAGGTAACATACAAACCCAGTAAAATTTGGGAAACTGCTGGAGAGTTAGTTTCCCGATGGGTGTTCGTTCTTTAGATGAGGCAAACTAAAAGAAATTCAATGCTTTCATTAACAACGAGAATAGGTTATTCTGTAGTGTGATCTGTGTTATTCTCCTACAGGTGAGCAGACTTATTTCATGAGGAAACAAAACTGAATGATAAGAGGTCCTCCTACTGTTAGGCAGCCTCGCAACAGAGAAAAACATGATTAAAAGCCTGATAATAATAATGAGTCACAGGTGGCAAGTTGCACACTGCTGTTGGTGACATTTCCAGTGAGTTGGGTTGCAGTTTTGACAGATGTTACACGTAGGGGCATTGCTTTTGGGATTTCAGATCTGATAAGCATCAGACTTACTCACTCTCCAGAAAATCCTCCACACTCCTATATTCACACAGACAGTTTAATGGATAGATCATTAAATTGGTCATGCAACGGTTAGTCAATCAATGCAATAACAATTCTCTTTGTTCCTTAATAAGATCAGGTTCTATGCGGAAAGTTCCCAGAGGTTTTGCAAAAGTAGGACAGTTTATTCAAGATAAAATCCTCACCCTTAAGTCAAATGTTGCACCGACTGTTCTGTCTTCCCAGCTGTTTGCCACATGTCTTCCAGCCTCACTTTAATTGCTGCAGTGAGGGCTTTGTTGCAGACTTTTGTTGTTGTGGCTCCTAGACATCACTAGTGGGGATGAGCAAACCTCAAAGTAAAGTAATATGTGTTGCAGTCAAGCCGTTAATATTCAATTTCATATCTATTCATACGGTAAAACTGCGAAACCAGCTCGCAGTGTTTGATCCTCAGTCAGCAAGCTAACTGCTTGTATCTGCATTAATGTTACATTTTATGACGGATATATTCCCGCTCACAGTCTTGCCAAAACTAGGGTATAATGCTTATAAATTGTCTGGTACAATGCTTCGGAGACCTTTGCGGACACAGTGGTAATAATGGGCCTGTGCTAGGTGGAACCAGTTGGACCTGGCCATCGTGCTCCTGTCAGTAATGGGTATCACGTTAGAGGAGATTGAGATCAGCGCTGCCCTGCCCATCAACCCCACCATCATCCGTATCATGAGGGTGCTGAGGATAGCACGAGGTAAACACACACACACACACATGCCCTGTGCCAGCACATTTCCTGTACATAAAATATTGATTTGATCCTGTTGGTGCGTTAAAATGTAGGTGTTTAAACTGTGAACGACAGTTGCAGGTCATTTCGCTGCCTACCAGCTTTTTGCTGAAGTGTTTCTATTTGTTTTCACACACGTGTGTCTGTGCGTGTGATAGCGAGAGCGAACGTGCGCGGTTTGTGTTAGGTTTCCAGACGCTGTAGTAGTGCACTGGTATTGGTACAGTCCACCTATAAATTGAAACTGAGGGGTTTCCCGCTAATTTGCCTCTGAATTCCCTTTCTTGCACGTGCACAGTGCTGAAGCTGCTGAAGATGGCAACAGGAATGAGGGCCTTGCTGGATACAGTGGTCCAAGCCCTGCCTCAGGTACGTTTATATTGTCTCTCACTTTCTTCCTCTCACAGGCACACTTCACCCTCCCAAGAGAGACGTGGTCAGTCTCAGTCAATTGTCTGGGAGTGAGGGCCCTGCTACTCTTTTTCTGTTGGCCTTTAGGCAGCTCTAATAGATGACTCATTCACATCAAAGACTCGGCAGGTTGAACACGAATATGTGTGCACAAGTAGACAGTTTAGAAGCAGCACATTTGTCTTTTCACTTTTAGCACCTCGGAGATTACCTCGACTCCCACTAAGTCCACAATGTGTGAGCCACCATTCTTATCCCAATCTTCTTCATTTATTGTTATTTGTCCATTGACCTTGCTAAACAGAAACATTGTGCATTTCCTTTGTTGTAAGAATTATGACTTTATCATAGTGACAATATTTAGTTTGAATTTGAATTTTGCAGGTGACTACACAAGCATGTAAAGTGATGTTAGTTTTTCCTTCAAATCACAGAGACTTACTGAGGGATACATTTTCAGATACATGGGGGTCACAGAATTGTGTGTGTAGGGTTTTAATTTTGACATTTCAAACACCCACGTACATACAGCATGTGTTTTTTTCCCCATAAAATGTCCATGAGGATCCCAATTCAGAGCATGCAACAGTGATACGGAGCAGAGTGAGAATAGTTAGCAAGCTAATGGTCATGTTGTCCATTTGGTCAGATGGTGTAGTTGGGCTTGTTTGAAAGTTGTGCGACTAACGTTTTAAAACTTTTAGAGCATTAGATAAAGCTATATTTATCTGTATACACTGATGTTTTAGACTAGATTACTCTTTACGAGTCAATGCTGGAAAGGACAGTTTGAGTTGAGCTTTTTCTTCTCCAAAGATTGTAGATAGCTAGTTGAGAAGATATGCCATTTTCACATCTGTACAATAAATAAGTGGCCAGAGCATGCTGCCAGTGAGCTTCTCCAAAGTTAACCGGCTGAGCTCACTGTCACCATCTACTGTTCTCTCTACATTTCTACTGCATGGTCATGAGAATGTGTGTCTATAAGTATAAGGAAGAATGAAAGGATGCATATCTGTAAAAAAAAGAAAAAGAAAAAGTCATATTAATCCTGAAAAGGAAGGTGCTGTCTAAAGGCAGACAGCTGAGTTACAAAAACGGGAGTATCATTCATGTACCAACATGCTCAAACAAACACACACAAATGCATCCCTCTAATTTAATGACCATCCAAAAAGAGATGAAAGAAAATGAAAGAAACAGGTGGCATGGTTAAGAGGACAAGCAGAGGGGAGGGAGAACAGCTTCCTTCTCTTTCTTTTCTTATTGATCCTTCTCTCATTAACACAAGCCTTTTGCTCTGTCCAAAGGGCAGCAAGAGAGATAATTAAAATTAGGGCTAATCAAACAGTTCCCTGTATGGAGATGTGGGGTGTGTATTGAGTAATTGAAAGAAGTGTAACTCTCTTTCTGCAGTGCTACACCTGTTAAAAGAGTTAACCTGAGGCGATATTATGCCATATTTCAGAGTAGAAATGAAATGTCGTGCTACCAACTTTATTTCATTACATCACATAGGATACTGAGGACAGTATTGACATTTCAATAAAGGCTGTGGGATCCTATTGAACAAGACTACAGGCAAATACTTGATATTGCTATGAGATAGCAAGAAAGAAATATACAGAAACTATGGCTCACTTCTCCAGGATTATATTTATTAGTTTCAAGAAGGATAAACACGCTATATGGGTTGGCCTTTTTTGCCTCATTCAAACAAGAATAAAAGCATTTATGTGCCTTTGACTGACATTTGTTGGAATTTGACTTTAAATATAAATCTAAAGTCAAACTTCAACTAAATGCCTCCCAAATTAGCAGTCTTAAATCATAAAAATAAATATACTTAAATCTAGACTTAAATCTTACTTTCTATTTTAAATTGAATTGCAGTTCCTTTTAACATGTAATTAACTGAATCTATTTAAAAAAATCTCCTTCCCATTCCCCTATGACTAGAGATCAATAAGGGACTCCTAAACACTGATTTAAATTGATCCCACAGCAGTAAATAAGAATTACTGTACTGAACATACTGTATTTTGTCAATCTTAATTTGACTAAACGTAGTTTTTGCGCACATAAATGTAGAGATTAGAGCAACTGGCATCTGTGGACCGAGTTTGTCCTGAATCTCAATAGAGCAAAGTTTTTAATGTCTTTATATTCCTGTAAGATAGTTATATTTTGCCAGGAGTGTTTACCAAAGCACATCATCATCCACGCAAATGGGATTAACAGGAAGTTGTTTAGGCCTGGAACTGAACCAAGTCCCAATACCCCAAAGTCAAAAATTCATGAAGCACAGGTGGCTCAGTCATGTGCATCTCTGTAGACGCAGTGCCTGTGTCTCCTAATCTAAACAACACATAAGGACGACATTATAAAAGCATATTCAGTCTTGTACTAAATTAAATACTGACAATGACTAAATTCCTCAGTTCAAAAGCCAGAGGATACGATGCTACTGTAATTGTTATTAAAGTGGCTTGTTCCATCGTTTTTTCAAATTATTGTCAACAGACTGATTAAAGGCCTTTGTAGTCTTTGCTATTGAATTCTATTTTAAAATAACTTGGTAGGTTTTGCTGTTTATTTGAAGCACATTTTATTCTGGCACATGTTTTACATGAATAATCTGATGCATTTCCCACACAGAACGCCTAGTTTAAGGCAAATATGTAATAAGAGGACTTCTTCTCTCTCTCTCTCTCTGTCTCTGTGTGTGTGTTGTGCGTGTGTGTGTATGTGTGTATGCATGTGTCCTGTATTTGTGCATAAATGTGTTGCAGGTGGGTAACCTGGGCCTGCTCTTCATGCTGCTGTTTTTCATCTACGCCGCCTTAGGAGTAGAGCTTTTTGGAGAACTTGGTGAGTTTGTATGATGTCGGGTTGCAGTAATACAAAGGACTGCATCACAACATTTGATTATACTCTGAAAATCTTTAAATAGATTATTTTAACGGCTCGTGTGTTGTTTAGTAAGATTCCATCCAGGATTAATATGCTGTGATAGTCATGATATATTGTCACATTGACTGATCTTTTGATATAGTGAGTATCAGCTCAAAAGTCTGCTTTTTTATATTTGAAAAGATTTTCTTTTTCATACCTAATAAGTTACACTCTGGTCTAAGCATCCTGACCTTTTAGGTTTTGGTGTTGTGGAACTCGAAGTGTACTGACCACAGTCATTTGAAGGGTGTCCTTCATTTGTCAACGAGTAAATTGATTAAATTAATTAGAAATCAACGTGCAGCACGACAATGTCTTCCAAGGGCACAAATAGAATAGTGGCTATGTATCTCCATATTGTCATTGTAGTGAATCCCACCAAAAAAACTGAAAAATTTAAGGATTCCATTAACTCTGAAACTGAATAAAGGATAAAATTGGCTGAAAATAGGTTGACTTTCAAGCAAAGCATTTCTTCTATCGACATGAGGGAACCAACTCAGTGTCCTGTATAATGAAACATAAGTACTGTCCCCAAATAACCACATTCAAGTTAAAAGATATACACCCCAAACCATCACATTTCTCTTATGTGCTGTATCTGTTGTCCTTGGCACGAGGAAGGATTAGTACCTAATGCAAGTGTCGCCTTCTTGAGGCTATGCGAAAGATTATCCCTTGATATAAGCTCCAAAACAAATAGAATGTTGCGATTACCTTGTTATTGATCTGATAACAGACTGTCTACATTGAATTGCATAGAGACAGAAATAGTACATGGATGTTGCAGTTTTTGGGAACAATGCCATGTTAAGTCTGATAAAACTCACATGTCGCTTCCTTTTCGTTATCTCCTTCTGTTCCCTTTCCTCTTTTATTTGCTCCTGTCACCACTTTTTCCATATATAACCTTTATCTCTCCTAATTTTGCTCCATCAACCAACCTTACTCTTACACTCAGTTTGCAATGAAGACTACCCCTGTGAAGGTATGAGTCGTCATGCTACGTTTGAGAACTTTGGTATGGCTTTCCTTACCTTGTTTCAAGTCTCCACGGGCGACAACTGGAATGGCATCATGAAGGTACAAACTCCCGTTCGTCTGGACGCTCACAGATTGATTCTGCTATCGGGTTTGAGGAAAGGCATGCAAGTCTGTTTTAATTTGCTTAATGGAAAGAAAAACAAAACCTCTGAAGAAAGAAAAAACTGAGATGACAGTATCAGAGTGACGGGGGGGGGAAAGATTGCCTCTGTGCGCACACATAAGAAATACCAGTTTCCCCTTAACCTATATCCACTACCTTCAGAAGCTATCCCATTTCCTCTACACACCTATGCTGTGAAGGGAGCAGAGATAATGTTAGAACGCGTTGACACACATTGGATACATGTAGCGCAGAGAGTCCAAAGCTTGAAGCGAGCCGGTGGGCCCCAGATGCTACCCCTCAGAGAAAATCTCTGCAATTTTAAACATTTACTTACCACCTGAGCTGTGAGAGAGGTTGCGCTGCTTTGGTTTGGTCGGAAGCGGGTGATGCCGAGTTAGAATTAGTGAAGCACTTATGATATCCAAGAGAAAGAACATTGAGGGGAAAGTGCACTTTCCTCCAATAAAGGGAGGTACAAGTGGACTGTAGGCAGGAAAATGAAAGAACACTAGAGGGTTACAACAACCAGTTATTTTTGCTTTCTCCAATTTAGTGGTAAAGATGAAGGCAAATATAAAAAACATGATGGGAAAACAACAAGACGCGTGTGTGTGTATGTGTGTGTATGCGCATGCAAAAGCAAGTGGCTGATTAAGGTGAAGGTAGAACTGAAATATGTAAGGAAATAAGATGGAAAGCGGGTTGACGCTTAAATGGGAAACGTTTTGTGAGGAGGACGATATGTAAATGTCAAAGCAAATTAGACGGAAAAGACCAGCTTCAGCTCAGAGGGCTAAAATTTTTATGTGGTCACAGGCTTGGTGAGATGTGCGTACTTCCTGCAGAAAACACTTGTCACTTCGGTTTTGCTGTAACGAAAGTACACTGTGCACATGTTAACCGGTGTGGAAAAGCTGTAGAGTCATTTTCTGGAAAACAAAACATACGCACGCACAAAGAAAAAAAACTTAAGCTTTTATGGACACTGCTAAAACTTTAATACGAGGGAAGATTAGTCTTGTGTGCAAAGCTTCATTTGCAAATAAACAGAAGCTTTTCTGTGTTCTTGGACTTCTGATTATAACAGGTGAAGCCCCGGGTTCTCCCCTTAGTTTAGGTTTAAGTTAAAACTTCCTAAAATGGTTAGTTGGAAAAGTATTTTCAATTTTGTTATGTGGTTGAGGAGCTCAGATATATTGGCTCCTCTTTTTTATCGGGTTCGACAAAGTAATCATGATCATATAGACCTTCAAGAACACAGTAGACTGTGCAAACGTGTCATGAAGTGTGTGATCTGTGTTTTGTTATAAACCTTCTAACCTCCTTCCTCATCTCCTTCCTTCTCAGGACACATTGCGGGAGTGTCCACCAGACCACAGCACTGATGTGGACTATGCTTGCAATCCAAGCCTTCAGTTTATCTCGCCCATGTACTTTGTCTCCTTTGTGCTCACCGCCCAGTTTGTGCTCATCAATGTGGTGGTGGCCGTGCTGATGAAGCACCTGGACGACTCCAACAAGGAGGCCCAAGAGGAGGCGGAGATGGATGCAGAAATTGAGCTGGAGCTGGCCCAGGGCACCCTCTGTTGCATGGGTGCCCCCAGTTGTGGGGGTGGGGGTGTGGACAAAGGACTGTTCGTTGCTGGATCGGGGCTTGGAGGGGCATCAGGGAGAAAGGAGCGAGGAAGTGCCAGAGGAGAGAAGGGAGAGGGAGTAAGGAAGATACGGCACGCGGTAACAATCGCACACCAGGGACCGTACAACTCCAGTGACTCCAACCGGACCCTGTACTCACAATCACAAGTGAGTATTTGTGCGAGTGAGTGTGAAAGCAAGTTTTATCATGTTTGCTTGGCGATAGGATTTTCTTTTCCTTTTTTTCTTGGTACGGCTGAAATGCGTGTAGGAGCAGGGATGTTTTAAGCCGGTCCACAAGTTCAGGCTGAGCAAAGCTAAATCAGGTTTCTTTCAAAAACTGTCGTCTCAGCTCCCTTTTTGTTTACCTTTAGCATCTTGGAAGCCAGCTACTAACAGCATGTTGTGAGCAAATTAATACTTCGTTAGCCAAAAAGAAGGAGCAGATAAATGTCTGTATTGTGTGTAGAATAGCTTCAGAATTGGACTTTGTTTGTTTTTCTTTTATGTGCTTGTGTATTCGTCTACAGTTACTGTAACTGTCCTAAGTCACGCCATGGCATTACTCTTTAGGTGTGTAGAGGGATATCAAGCAAAGCACAATACAAGGTGAAAGTATATAAGTATGTTAGCACATGTCATTTGGTAGGAAAAATGCAATGTCCCATGTCAGAAAATCCGTACATCGTGTGAAAAAGCAAAAACTACATGCTTCACAGTTGTGTGTTTGCATCAAAACATGACTGTGAAAATGACGTAGTCCTTTCCCAGTCTTAAAATATGTAAAATCCAAGATGAACAGCAATCATGAAAAAATACCTAAATATATTCCAATAATGGATATATGAATATGTTTCCTTCATAGTATGCAATGCTCAAAGATCATACTTCAGACCCTTCAGGCTTCATTTAGCATCTTTAATGTTTAAGTTTGTGACAGTACAACCCTGAACAGCAATGGCAAGTTTAGAAAGGCCATCAGATCAAATTGTCTTCTTTCTAAAAAGAGCATGGCAGCTCAACTCAGGTCTGCAAAGTTTCATCTGAACAAAGCACCAGACCTTTAGGTACAGTGGTGAGGGCACATGGGCACTTTCAGCCACTGAGTTAAATATAACTCTGTCCAGAACAGGGGTGTCAAATCCCCTGGAGGGCTGCTCTCCTGCAGGTTTTAGAGGTCTGCCTGTTCCAACACACCTGATTCACATCAATGTGCCAGTAGTAGGCCTGTGCAAAGCCTAACAATGTCTAGAGGAGATCCAATTTAATCACAATCAGGTATGCAGAAGCAGGAAAAAAAGAACTGGGGCGTGACAGCCCTGGTCTAGAAGCGGTTTATCCTGCAGTCAAACTATTTTGTTGTAAATTGGATAAACACTAATACAACATGGAATTTAACAATGCACAACTTTAAAGAAGTAACAATATGGGCCAAAAATCCCCGTGATATCATGCAGAACAGTGTTATTTCAAGTTACTGCTGCTGATAGTTATTTCAAATGTTGTTGTTTTTTTATATTAGAATGTAGTTCTGCAGGTTTATCCTTTTTTACTAAAAGAAATGTCATGCTGTTCATCTGAGGTTTCAGATAAATCATTTTAAGACCTGGGAAAGACAATTTAAAAAAGATTTTTCATATCATGTCTTGATACTAACCCAAGAATTGACAGTGTGATCTGTGACTTTAGGTTTAGGCTGTGTATGCTTCTCTTTATACTGTGGCAATGCATTAGCTAATCCAGAGAAAATGACATATTTGAAGCACAAGCCAGGAGAAAGGGGATAAATAATATGCCAGTGATTTCTCTGTTGCGTTTGAATGGTGCTGATGTCAGAGAGAGAAGAGATTCGTGACCTTATTTCCTTTTTGCAATGTGTCCCACAAGTCTCATTGCTTGAGTGCAAATAGTCATTCAGTTTCTTTGTTGAAATTTGAACTATTGCTCTTTTACAAAAAAGCTAGATTTTGCCAGAAGTAAGGGAGGGCATGGAGGTTAAACAGACAGACAAGAGGGAAAAAGGACAAATACTAATGTAAAAATAGACAGTGCTTTAGTGAAAATCCACAATAATACTTCAGTTAAGACATTTACTACTAACCGCTGGCCAGCAAATTAATTGCTTTTTGCAGTATTGACCCAAGCAGCCTCGTTGACAATAAGCTGACTGCAGTCAAAGAATTTTAGTGTAGCTTAACTGCACAGCAGCGTATTGTCAGCCCATTGTCAAATGTTGGTATTTTATTACTTTTCAATATTGATTAAAGTTGCATTGATCTCATTGTGTTAATATGAGACTGTCAGTTTGCAGATTTACATGCGCGGGTTTAATTATTGTTTCATTACCGGCATATATGCATGTGAGACAGTCAGCTGAGACACACGCTTCCATTTTAAAGTCGCTAATGATAGTCTGAGATATCCATACTGATAAACACAAGGATGACTCACCAGCTGCCATGTGGAGTTTCACCTTTGTAGAGCTAATCTTGGCTGTGTGGAGCCATTTTTAGTTCTGTGCTGGCTGACAAGGAAACTTAATGCAGACCGGGAGAACACACAGGCAGCATCCTCCCCCACTTTTTCCATCTCGATGCTTCTCTCTCTGGTTCTGTCCTTCCCACTTGTGATGCAATGAGGTATTGAGTAGAACAATTCATAGCACAAGTCCTGGTGTGTTTGAGTGTGTGCGTTTGTGTGTGTGCGAATGAACAACTTACGTTGTCATAATCTTGCCAAAAGTTAAAGAAGTATTAAATAGTAACTGCTGCCATCCATGGACGTCAAGTGTGTTTACAGTTAGTACTAAGAGTGATAAGAGGTTGAAAAGCTGATTGAACTGTGACCTGGTTTTCAACCAAAAAGTGAGACATTTTACATGTATTTTTTTCATTAAGGTTTATGTACACGCTTACACATATATCTGTAAGCAGCAAAGATTTCAAGACTAATTAAGATGGTTTTATAGACTATTCCTACAAAGGGCTTCATGCTCTGTGAGGTTCTTTGACCCCTCCCCTCCCCTCCAGTTAGATTTTTCTAGAAGCATTAATGAGGTGTATACAGCATGTTAACTTCCCAAATTCGCTGCTATTTAACCAATCATTTTTCACTTCTGCTAGAGAAATATTAACCTTATAATATCAACCGATCCTTAAGCATGAGCAATTAACCCCCATGCATCAAAGTTGCATCTTATTGTTACAAGTACAAGATCCACTTTACTTTCATCGTCTGCTAACGTTGGTGCTCATCTCCTAAGACTTGTGTCGGTGTTACATCAGCCTAATATTAGCATCTACTAATATCAGCCTGTGCATTTTAACTGGTTAATTGGCACAACATATAATATATCAGAATTTGGCCAATATTCAGTTTGTCTTGTTTGTGTTGTGTTGCATTGATTTTGTCCTGGGAAAACTAGACCTGAGATGACAGTTTGATAAACTAAAAGTCAACTTAAAAAGTTGTTTCATTACATAGGAGTGAGATAATAACATGATACATCCACAAAGTACACTTGTATGAAAGACGTTAACAAATCTAAGCTTTACCTTTAAAGTTCAATTATTTATTTATTGCATATTTGATTGTTTCCTTGGTATTAAATATTAATAATACATTTTTTATTGTATGACGAAACAAAACTACTATTGCTAATATTGCAAGCCGTGAAAGAGTCACTGCAGGAAGTTAATACCCACACTCACAAGGTTAGGGAACAAGCAGGGACAGATAATGGCTGAGCTAGTGACAGCCAGATAGTGGCAGTAATTAATTTCAGCTCTCTCTGACTCTCAACTTCCATTCCCTGCAGACGAGCCCTATTGTTGTCCACTAATACAGTTATTAATGGGGGCCAGCACATAGGCCACCACAGTCAATCAAACATTATTCTTATATTAAGCTCTCCACCTATGCAGAACAAACTAACATGTGCTGGTCTGTGAGGGGGAGACAGAAAGGGAGTGTTTTTTTTCTTTCTGTCTTTATTTTGTTTGTTTGTTGTCAACACATATTGAGCCTGCTATGACTGCTAGGATGTGGTTCTGCAGCTGTATTTTATCAACCAGCATGGTTTATGTTAATTTATAACTACTGGGAGTACGATAAGCTGGCTCTTGAATTCATAGCCCACTCATTTTTCGAAAACATAAGTCATGAGAAAGTATGACATAGCCAGATGAGTCATATGAGATGTGCGTTTGCGTAACAGATCTAAGTATAGCCCTACAACCACAGTTGTAGAAATGATTATATGAAAATAGTTTTAGGCTTGGGATTGAAGCAAAGTTATTTTATTTCTCAGGATTCACAGTATTGTTTGGGCAATATCTACTGTAATATGCGTATTAAGGCAGTTAAGAAGGGGCTACAGGCACAGTGCATCAAATATATCGGCAATCGCAGAGCTCCAAAGAACGCAAAATCATTTTAAAAACTGTTGGGTTTTTATTGTGAATTTGTTTGTTTTGTGTTTTTTATTTTTTTCCTCACAAAAAATTGGTTTTTCGAAAACTAATCTGGCTAATTAAATCCAAGTGAAAATGGATCAATTAAGTCACTGGAGAAAGCCCTGAGTGATTCAGTCTAAATTGCTTTAAACCTAATAATACCCAGAGCAGAAAGCAAATGCTTAACTCTTAAATTGTTTCAACAAGGTGTTGAACTACCTAAATTAAGGTGATATATCAAATGTAATTGCTCTGCTCTGAAAGCTCAAAGTTTCTATTTTAAATTTGTGAGCTACTGAGTACTTGGACTTTTAAAATTTCAGAGGTGTGTTTGTGTGTTTTCTTGAATGTAATGGGATGTTTTCTTTCTTGTTTATGTGTACATAATGTTTGGCACAAAATGTTTGAGATACTTCCTAATTCTTTGATCAGACGTTTTTTTGGTCTAAGGCATAAATGATAAGTTCACATTTGTAAGTGATGAACGACTATGTGCATTTGTGTGTGTGCAAAAGCATACCTGCGTGTGCGCACAGGCACCTGTATAACCCTTACAATGGTGTATGCGTTTCCCTGCGTGTTCTCTGTCCTCGCATGTCCACATGTACACATGTTTGCGCCTGCGTGCATTCTGGTCTGCCGGCCTGCGTCCCGTGCGTGTGTGTGTGTGTGTGTGTGTGTCTGTGTGTGTGTACGTGCGTGCGTGCGTTTCCCCGTGTGCGTGTATGTGTGTGTGCGTGTATGTGTTCCAGGAGAGCCAGTGGTTGGACAGTGTGTCTCTCCTAATCAAGGATACGTTAGAAGGGGAGATGCTGATGATCGACAACCTCTCCGGTTCTGTCTTCCACCACTACTCTTCTCCTCCACCAATCTGCAAAGACTGCAAGGGCCACCCACAAGAGGTATCACCCTGAGCACACAGAAGGCAGACATTTATTCAGAATACACGACAGGGCGGAAGGACATTAGCATGCAGATTTTGAAGTCATTCAAATATCACAGTAGCCCACATACAGAAGGAACCACAAGCAGTATTTTGAAGGTAAAATACACAGTAACTCTGACTTTATTAGGTGGTTTGTCAAAGGCTTTATCCACTGAGCTTTACAGGTTTGACATCAAAGCATTGTTTCATATCAGTCAAACACATTCTGGTCTGTTAAATAATAGTGTTTGAAAATATCATTATGCTTTTAGTAATTTTCTTCAGCAACAAGACTAGCAAAAAAAACAATAACTTTATAGACAAACGTCATACTTTGTCAGAAAGTCACTCGTAAATCAGCAGTCCTTAGTAACTGCTGCTGTAGTTCTCTGCAATGTAAGCTGCTATCTGTCAGAGAGCAGCACAAAGCAGCCGGACTCAAATCTATAGCAACAGAGGAGTTATTATTTTCTTGATTGGAAAACAACAGCATTACCAAGTTTGGTAGATGTTAAAATATTTTGTGGATGACTGTTTTTCCCATCCTTATAAGTTTTCCAGGGATTTGGCAGCTCTGCAGCTATTTTGTTTTAGAAGAGGTTTTTAAAAATTGTATGCCTGTACCGGAAGGTAGAACTAGTTCATATATGATTCTGTTCTAAGAAACCTTGTAAGACTGGTTCTCTGTACAGGATAAAGATATACACTTGAGATGACTTTAAAAGTCTACCTTCTACCTTCCATTTGATGCATTTTGATACTGATGAGGATAGTATATCTATATATGAATAATAACACCATGTGGGGTTTGTAGTTTAGCTTACTACTTTTGATCCAGCTAAAAATTTATTTTCAGCCTGCAATCTTAACCCTGAGTATTTCTATATATGCACCACACAGAAACTTTCACATGCATAGAAGCACAAGCCATGTTTTGAACCAGGCTGCATGGTTGAAGGGACCAAAAACATGCATGTATTCTCATGTACTGTCATGAGAGTACAGGGCTTCATTCATCACACACAAAATGAATGGAACGTAGTCCATCCTATTTTGAAACATGTCAACTAAATGATGTGCTGTTTTCATTTATAGAATTATTCTGCAGGCCATAACTGAAGTAGATATCTGAAGACTTAAATCCATTTGTGGATGAAAGTAGATGAATGAGGCCCTCTGCATGCCTACATAAATGTTGCTACTGTTGATTATGTTTGCTTGCATGCACTCACCCACTATCTATCTGTTTTAGTTGTCCTCATACTATAATGTATCTTGTAAACAGGAGCTCCTGCACTTAAAACACTCACAAACATACCGTCTTGTGCAAGTGTTATCCATCATAATGACAAAGTGTTGCGGGTCAGCGCAGGGGAAGAAGTAAGCAGGATCCACACCTCCTCCCCTGTCAGTCCTGCTTTCTGCCTGTCTGAAGACGCTGTCAAACCATCAATCTTCTTTCCCTTCTTTACATGCTTCCTCAGTCCACAAGTACCTCCTCGTCTCTGGTTACCCCTGTGTCTGTGTTTGATTTGCTGTATCTGATCCTGCTGTGTTCTGCTTTAAACTGCCATGTGCTCTGAGAGTCTCCTTTGCATTTAAAAAGTGTTTCTGTTGGGACAGCCCGTGTGGGCGATAGTCAGTCAGATAGATAAGACTTTCCCTGTCCTTTACAGTAAGCGGGCAGCGAGGCTCTGCAGGGAAATCGGGAGGTCTGTGTGTGTGCATGTGTGTGACAGTGAAAATATTCAAGTAACTGCTTTACAAGCCCCTGAGGATGAGAAAAAGTTGAAAATGATAATCAAAAGTGCAGGAAACAGTTTCCTTGCCATCAATTTAAATTCCCTCACCATATTTTGCTGTCAGAAAGAATGAGAGATGCTTCCAAAAGAGGAACATGTATGAATGTTTCCAATCAAACTTTATGGTGTTTCTGCAGCGTAACATTTTTGCCGTTGCTGTTGTTTTGTTTTTTGTACACAGAATTGAAAGAAGATCTCAAAATATATCTTTTTCCCCCTCTATTTTCAGCTAAATTTTGTGGAAGAAGTTTGTTAAGATCTATGACTGATCCATCTAATTGTTTTTCCTAGAATAAAGAAAAATGTGTGAAAAAATAATGGCAGTCAGCTAAAGGAAATTTGACCCACCCAGATTTAAGCATTTATGACATCAAAAATACTTTGTGCTTACTAGCATGGCTCATGTGCTGTGGTCCTGACATGTTGACGATGCATGTTTTCTTTTCAGTCCCCTGCCATCAATGCTGATTCAAACTCTGCCTTAGCCTTTGCTCTCATGCCGCTGCAACCACTCTAAGTCCGTTCTTACCCGAGTCTTCTATCTTGTTACCGAAGATGTCAATAATTCGGCCTGTTCCTTGGAGGCAGCAGAGTAGCAAGTCTTCCTGTGGCCATTGTGCTCTGTCCTATCCCTGGAGGCACAGCCAAGAATACAGGAAGAGAAAGGCTATAGTTTCTATTACTTCTCAATAAATACACCAGCTGACGACCTGCATGGACCCTTGCAGAACCAATTTACTGCCCACCTCTGAGACGCAGAGCAGCAGATACACAGATACAGAGCCGTCACAAAGAGCAATAAGAGGGAGTCAGTAGATGATGCAAAGCAAAAAAGGCTGCAAAGTTTTCCTTTTAATTAATGAGTTGCTTCTTGTGCCCCTGCTTGATTTTATTTTCCTTTTTGTCCTTCATCTCTCCCTCTATTTTTTTCTATGTTTCTGCTTGGGGCCTGTGGCAATACTGATTTACTGCCTCATATCAGCATTGAATCTTTCTCTATGAACCTCTTTGTCTTTTTCGCCTGTTGGCATATGTTAATACATCGTTAAGCAGCCTCACTTCATTGAATTTCACTTGGCCCTCTTTAGGTAGGCCTTTTAATCTCCTTTTCTTAGGCTATTTGTTCTTCTGTCTCTTCAGAAAAACACTGCTGGAACACATTATAGCATTCGCAGAACTCTGAAATTCAACTTCAACTCACTGCAGTTTTTTTTTTTTAAACTGCACGCAAAAAATTTGCCACAGAGGGCGGGGTTAAGGAGAGTGCCAAGTGTTCATTTAAGAATCAGTTTAGCAGCAGTATGGGCTGAGTTACTTTAAATGCAAATGAATCAAAACCAGATGGAATCCATTTTCTACAAGATTGAAAGGAGTGCTGCAGAAAAATAAGTAACTCCAACTGCACTTCAGTGTGTGTGCAAAGTTTTAATATACCCAGGGCACTTGTTGTAGAATTATTCTGCAATGCATCAGTGTATACAGTTCAATAAATCCGTTTGCTCTCATGCACTCACAACCACATTCCAGAGTATCCATTCTGACCAAATCCTTCACACACCACATAGATATCTCCTTCTTTCTGAAATGTTGATGTCAGTGGAAAAAAAACACCTTTGGTTTAGTTGATGATGACAAAGCAGTTATATTATTTCTTGAAATATCTCATCCTGCTCTCTTTACAGGCAAGTGTCTCTGCATTAAGGCCACTTTGAATTGCCAACAGCCGGTGAACCATGTCTCAACTCGGTGCAGTGCTTACATGTCTTGTTTATATGGTTCTTGTTAGGTTGTATTAGATACTGATGGTGCTCTGTTACGCATATTCCTTATGTTGAGAACAGAGGGTATAAGTAAGAAAATGGTTGCTTTTTCCGATTCTCACTGTGTCTTAAACACGTTAATGACTAAAGTAAACTCTTTGCAGCAAATCAGAATGGCAGAAGTTGAACAGGCGTCGCTGAAGTCAGAGCAGCTATCAGACAAATCCTCGTCCCCAGCTCTGCCAGATGACCTCAGCCTCGATGAAAATGCTACCTTTCAAATATTGGCACAAGACAGCAAGGTGGGTGAGAACACTAGGGGTGTATGGGGAGACTGTGATCTGCACCTCTCAATAACGATGGACCATGGAGTACAGATGTGGGCCTCTGCCCAGTCGTGTACCACATCAGCAGGGATGATTCATTATTGGCAATTCACATTTTAAAATGTTTTCACAAATAGTTTATATGATGCTTTCCCAAGAGTATTAGATTACCTAATCATTTACCATGACTATGCTGCAGGCAATGTTTTATTACAGATATGAACCATGCTCTCTAAAAAGCCCCTGATCCCTTTCTGTCAACATATCAAAGTAACACATATTTTCTTTCAAGAACTAATAGTCTCTATCCATACAGACTAGCTCATGAATGAATCCTACTCATTGGTTCTCCCCTGACCCATTCCCTAAATGGCTTCTGTCTATTTCCACTTTAGACCTTATCTATTATGCCTCACCTTTCACTGCGTTACCTCTCAGGTAATTGCACACCTGCTCTGCGCCTCCCTCTGGCCCTCCTATCTTCATCTCTTGTCACCCTTCTTCTTCCCCGTGATGGGCTAATGCTCCATGATTTTGGATAGTCTGACAAGCCATAGACAACCAAGCATGGCTTTAAACTACTGATTATCAGAAAGTGGTCATGGCAAAAGAAAAAGAGGGAAAGACAGAATTTAAGAATACGATAAGGTTAATCATTTTTATCAAGCATTGCGTTTTGTTTTGAAGTCATTTGGTGCATCTACATTTTAGTTGTTGTATACTGTGTTCTGTGACGTCACTCATCGGTGAACGTCTTTGTCAACTGATTCCACAGTCATATTGTGTACTGGGAGATGGAGAGCAAGTCTTAATAATTTAACTTTATTAATATTAGTAAGATTGCACTTAGAAAAAGAACAGGGTGTGCAGATGGCCTCCCTTGTGCATATGACTCAGGCACAATGCACTACTGAAGGCACTAAAGCATGCCGACAAATCCACATATGCTTTACTGTGCTCCCCACTTCAAGCTGTCCAACCATTGCACACACACACACACACACACACGCTCACTGGCTCCCAAATTTACTACCAAACATTTCTTATTAACAGATTTACTTGAGAATAGAAGCTAATATTCAGTTCTTACCCGTTCATCAACACTAAAATGAGAAGCCAGAGGGAATTTGTGAATCAGAGGCCATATTTAATATCAGCACAGTGCCTGAGGGGCTGCATTTTGTCTGTTCTCTTTTACTAATAGGTTTGGTTTCAACCAATCATTCATAAGCCTTATTTGAGAGTTGAACGAAAAATATCATTAATATTAGTAATTATTTTAACGATGGAAGCTTTAACACACTGGAACCATATCTTTGGCATCTTCTGAGAAGGACAATGAACTCTTCTATAGTAATCTAACCTTTGATAATGTGATTTTAAGATTTTTGCATGGAAAAAACAACTTTTCTTTCAATTTCAAGTTATTGTTTCTCTTTCAGGGAAGGTGTAGCAGTGACCTCCGCAGCCTGGAGGAGGCGACTGGTGGAGGAGGTTATGAGGGAGGTACCCAGACTCTGACCACGGTGGACACTGAGGAGTCCACACAACAGGAAACAGAAACGCACCAACCACATATGTGCTCACCTCACTGCAGCCCCGGTTAGTAAATCTACATGAAGCGCAGAACAAACACACAGACATGTATTCATGTAAATGTTTATTTACTTACAGATTAAAGGCCCATGGACAGGTTGCCAGTCCATATTAAGTTGTAGTAACTTGTACTTTGTAGCTAAGCACAGTGATACATGACAGTGGAAAACTACAAGCACTCAAACCATCATATACATTTGTGTGTGTGTATACAAATATATATCAATGACCATATCTCCTGATACGAGAAAAATGTAGCTGATCAGCACAGATAAAGGAAGAGAAAAAATGATTTAATTTCCAGTATGAACTAAGTGAGGCTGCATAGACCAGTTTAACAGCCCATGCAACAATCCAACAAAGATTATCCAAATACTGAAGCAGAAATGGCAGGGAACAGTCAACCGGAGCACAGAGAAAGGCAGAAAATGTTAATTAACATGACAGGGAAAACACACATGGCGAACAAAGGTCAGAAATTTGAACAGAACAATCTATAAACATGAGGACTGCCACAGTTTCACCCATGAATAAAATAAAAGAAAAAGAATGGGACTCGTGAACTAACTGATGGACACGCGCACACTATTGTCATCTTAACTAAAAGAGCTGGTACCTCTGTCCACATCACTACAACAACAGCCTTGATGACAGTAAAGAATTTCTGTCCATCCAAAAAGACTTCAATTGCAATTTTCTCCTGACATCCCAAAGCTGCTAAACAGCTGTAATCACACATAGAAATGGATAAACCCCTTACCACCACAGCCAATCAGCCATGGAGAAAAGTTTCAAATGAAACAAGGATAGGAACAAAACTTGTGTTCTTTCCAAAAGATGGCATTTGCAGCAGCAAAGAAATAAACAAAGAAGGGGAGGGAGGAGGAGCCATTGGTATTTCTACTCTCTTCCGTCTGCCTGCAGAGTTCTTCCATTCTGCCGGGGCTGCCATCCCTGTACCTTCCCGCAGTAAGAGCCTGCGTTTGTCCAGAGGCATTAGGCTGACCTCCCCATCCTCCTGGACCTCGTTCCGCTCCCCTGGAGCTCATAAAAAGATGCTCTGCGCACAGGTAAGGAGGAATCAGCACAAAACACAGTAAAGGTGGGAAGAAGGATTATCTGAGATGTAGTAGATTGCTAGCTCAAAACAGCTAAAATATCAAATAAATTCGATCAAAGCTAATCATTTTCATATAGGATGAGCTTTGCAAAAATGCAGTTTCCTTTTCTTAATTTCTTTCAGTATCCCTCCCACAGTGACTCGTCCCTTGCTACAGGCAGCTCTGAGGGCAGCCTCCAAACCACCCTTGAAGAAGGACTAAGCTTCAGTGTCTCTCCACCACAGAATCTGGAGTTGCCACTGCCAAGAGCTACTTTACCACCCACGTGCCCTACCCCGCAGTCTGAAGAGAGAAGTATTATTTCCCCTCCGGTTCAAACCCCGAGGCCGAGGCCCAACCCCTCATCTACTTTAACCCTTCTGGCTACGAGGGGTCACCAACGAAGCCAGAGCAGCGGGCGAGGCAGCACCAGCCCCGGCTGCACCCGGGAGGACTCCATCGACCCCTCAGATGAGGACCTGGGCATAGGCATTGGGTCATCCATTGGTGGCTGTGGCTCCAGCCAAGCAGGGAACAGTGAACACTTGTCAGAGGCGCTGAGTAGCTTGTCACTGACATCCCTGCTGTCCCCCAGCTCCCTCGTATACCCAGGGGGGGCAGTAAAGAAGTGCAACAGCACAGGTAGCCTGGACAAAGGGGGGATACTGCTGTCTTCCCGGGGCAGGGAGGGCCGTATGGAGATTATGGGCCTGGAGCTCATGGACCCTCAGGGCTTCTTGGCCAACCCTTGGACAGGGGTATTAGTAAATCCAAGGAGAAGAGAGGGACAAGTAGAGGATGGAGAGCCGGGTTTGAAAGGGAAGAGCTCAAGCCAAACCACAGTAGGGCCTTGTCGAAAAAACAGATGAAACTAATGTTACTCTTTGTCTTTCCATTATTTGGTACTAAACCCATTGCTGTCCCTCTCACTCTCTGCTTCATCAGTGAGACAGAGGTTTGGTGAAAACTTGTACTCCAAAAATCAAATCCCATCTTACCCCTCACCTAGTTTCTTTACATTTCTGACAAGTCCATGTCGAGTTTGTGCTTGTTGGAGACTGGTTATGGTTTGATGGTGAGGAAGTGGCAGGAAGTCCAGGCCCAAGGGCTGAAGATCGGCCCCTTCAACTTTTCAAGGGGCTACTGTTGAGGATGATGCTTTTGAAGGTTCTGATGACACCGAAAAACAGAAGTTGTGCTCATATCAGCGCGTCAACGAGAGCGGATACAAAGAGGCTTGAACTTCAGGTCTTAAAGTAACTCTGCTGTAGTTTCTTTTTCTCTGTAACGTCAGGTTCAGTGAAACTAAAAAGGCAAAAATAGAAGTACCCTATCCATGCCAGCAGAGACTGTTTTCATTTGTTCACGTCTTGGAGGCAGCGCAGAAAGTAAATGGGAGGAGGATCTATGATGTTGGAATATATCAGAGCGGAAGGAAGACTGGGAAAGGAAGAGGCCGATTTTTTTTTTTGGCCTGAAAAACAGAAAGCGGATCTAATGCCCATCTGCTCTGGCAGACGGAAACAACAGGTCCTACTCGCTCTGGCGAAGTACCTTCTGCTGGGATCAGAATAAAAATGCGAGGTGGAGGAGAGTTCAGAAATCCGTGCTCATAGTATTTGTCTGCGAGACCACTGCTTCGGAAATCCAAGGCATAAATGAAATCATTCTCATCACTACTCCGTACCTCAGTATTTTTGAAACAGGAGATAGGTATTGACTTTGTGCATCTGTCAACTTGGTCTTCAGTGGCAGCGGAAAATGAAAGAGAACTGAGAGATGGGAGAGGTACAAGAGTGCATGGAGCGATTCGTGAAATTGCTCATCTTTCTTTCCATCTCCAGCATCTCTCATTCATGAACATGAAGAAAAGAGAGAGAGAAAGAGAGGCAGGTTGAACTGAGGTTAATAAACCTTGTCAGAAGTCACGGCAACGTGTGCATGGGGCAGGTTTGGAGAAGGTTTGGGAGCACTGATACGCGTCTCGCAGCCAGTGAGACTTGAAGCACACTACTTTTGACTCCACTCCCTCTCACTATCTTCAAGGATTTAAGATGAATGGACAAAATCACTGAAGTTGCAAGGGACATTGGCTGCATGATGGAGATTGCATTTAACCAAGATTTTTATCTATCTACAGAGGTGTATCAAGATGTCATTGTTGGGTGATAACCATGTGATTTCTATTCCACTATTTTTGTAGAAAAGAGAATATAGGCTCATGCAAATGCTGCCGTTAGTTTGTCCTGATATGATTTAACCCATGCAGTGTCTTCGACTTGTTGTCTAGGACTTTTTGTCTGCCAGTGGCTTCCAGTTTTATAACATTTTTTAAAGTAAGGACAGTGTATAAAACAACAAAGCAAAAAATTTTAAAAAACTTTGTGCGCTGAAGCGATTGCTCCCTGCAGCACATTTCTCTATGGGAACACTCGTTCCTTGTGGACTTTTATTTATTAATTTATTCCAGATGTGGGAGTGTGAGGACCACCAGAGATGGGAACAGCCATATTCACTCACCACATGGGGACAGTCTAGCTCTCAGACATACCTGCACACGGGGAGCTTTGGTACCTTGCAGCCTTGTGGCTAAAAACCATGAACAGCATAAACCATGTCAATGAAAGCTTTAATTTGAGTGTTACATCACCACATATCTATTACGGGCACATCTGTGTTCCTCAAGCATGGATCTGGGATTGCAATACGGTATGCTTATTCTTGAAATGACACCTTGAAACTCCCATCATCTCCTTCCCATCCGTTGACACACAGAGTATGTTGTAGCAGCTCTTTTCCACATTATTGTTTGATATCGAAAGCTAACACTGTAACAAGGAACAAAGTGTTGCATCTTTAAATGGAAACTCATTTTAGCTTATGCCACTTGATGAATTGCATCATTCAAAAATGAGATGCTTCTACTTAAGCCTGAGTTCTAGAGGTAGACTGTTGCACCCTTAGTGTTTTGATCATTGCCCTACTTTTTAGGTGTTCCAAAAAGAATGTGGTGATGTGAGAAAATCTGAGGGTTTGACCTCTTTTATCATGCAAAATCACTTTGATGACTATGGTTATTTGCATGGTGTCGAAACTAACGAGTGAGACAACTGTGTGTGCGCGCGTGTGTTTTTATGACTTCAGGTAAAGCAACCGCTTTCTCCTGAAGTATCATGTGTGTCGGTGAGGATAGCAGAGGTTTAAGGTTGGATTGGAGAAACACAAAGCAACCAAGGGCTGTTTTAGCTTCAAAGATATATCCTCGTATCTTTCTGAGACAAATCCTTGTGTCAACGAATATGGCATCAAAGTTTAAAACCTGACAATACAGCAATAAATGTTTTATGTGTATGCCCTGAGTAAGTGATGTCAATGTGATTTTTATCTCCTCAGAAAGCAACAGTAGTCATGTCTGGTCTTGTTTTGACTTGGCTGAGCTCACACCCATTCAAACGGCACATC